TTTAACCATGGAAAGACATCTTGAACCAGAAGTTCTCACAACTATTGTGAGAATGAGTCATCGAGGTCACCGCCAAGTGGATATCGCAGAGGCAGTTGGCGTTTCTCAGAGATTTCGTGAGACTGTAAGTGCTAATAGGAGGCCTATTAGGTATCACTACGCTAACGGAGGACAGAAATATTGTAATTGCTGCTAGAAGGAACCCTTTCCATAGTGCCCGCCAGATCCTAAACGAAGCACAAGATGTTTTTGCAAGGCCTTTATCACACAAACTATTCGTAATTTAGCCTCACATCGTATGCCTTTTCGAGACGACCTGCAAGAACAGTCTGCTACCAGCAACTCAGGAGAATATGGCGCAGCAAGCGCCTAGAAGAGAACCAATCGGAATGCTGTTATGTTTACTGATGAGTCGAGTTTCTGTCTGTACACTGATTGCATTCGCCGAAGAGTCTAACGAGAACAGATGATGTGAACAATGCCCCAGCTCCCTTCAGTGCGGAGACGGTGATGGTCTGGGCCGGGATTTCCACTCGAGGACAAATTGGACTTCATATTGTTGAGGGCAATCTCACCGCAGTTCGTTACGTCCAAGAAATTATCGAGGAGTACATCCCTCAAAGCAGGGATCTCATTGGCAGGGATTATCGATTTCAAGATGACAATGCCAGACCTCATAGAGGCAGAGTTGTTCATCAGTGGATCGAATACCTGGGAATTTTCCATCTGCCCCTTCTCCGATTGTCTCCAGACTTCAATCCAATTGAACACATGTTCGATGCGTTGCAGAGAAGGCTTTTCGAACACCATCAGCTGCCAGTTGACCTGCAACAACTGCGTGCAGCGTTGCAACGTTTATGAAGTGAAATTCCTTACGAAATTAGTGTCAACCTTATTATCAGTGTGCTTTACAGGTGCACAGAAGTTTTGCCAATCATAGGACATTATACACGGTATTAACTGTTGAAAAAAATTGTTTATTGCCCAATAAACAAAATTATGTAATTAAAACCTTTTATTTTGTCATTTTTCAAAATCCCTTAATTAAATTTTCCTTCAGTAAAAAACAATGATGTCTAATCAATTTTAACGCATTTATAATACAAATGCTAGGCAAAATAAATACTACAAAATTGGCAATATCCCTAGTCATTTTTGAGCATTTTTTTTTTTGTAAACGGGCACGTCAATTCAACTAGTCAACCCTATCCATCATTCCAAAATTTTATTAAATTTCATTCATATTGTTAAATCCTAAATTATTTGATATTAAAGCATAAAAAATGAACTTGCGACTAGCAATGAAGGTGCTGATTTAAAGATCTAATGTTCAAAAGTTACGGGGTTTCAAATAATGAAGGCCAGAATAAATCTAGGGACTACAGAGAATTTTTTTTATATTCGAAGCAAATATACTCCAAGTAATAATTTTAAAAAAATTTAATACCACATGGACAAATTTAATTCACCACCCAATTTATTTACTTTAAAATTAAATCCATTGACTTTGGACATTAGTTACAAATAATTACTGAATTGGTGTAAAAGTAATGCAGGTTTCGAAAATTTGTTTTATTTTGCCTGTAAACAAAGCTAAATCCTCAATCTAATTGATGGATTATAATAAATACTTTTAACTGCTATCTTTTATATAAAACGTTTTATTTTATATTGAGTTCTATAAGAGAGTGGACCTGCGAAATAAAATATGCCCAAACTAGATTTTCGTCAAATTTGTTTATACGAATTGAAAATTGGGTGAAGTGCGACCTAAACCGCGCGTAACATCGATAAATTACAGAGAATTCGTCTTGGAGATTTCGATCTCGAAGACAGGGAAAGTCGCGGTAGTCTTCCGTCGTGGACGACGACCGACTCAAAACGTAGATTGAAGAAAATTCATTTAACATCATGGGAAAATGCGGAAGAGCTTAGTGTTAGCACTCAACCTTTGGGGCCTTTGGTGCAAATTGGTAAAGCAAAGAAGCTCGACAAACGAGTACCGCAACTAACCGAATCCCGAAGAAATCGACGCTTTGAAAATTGCACCGGATGGTGTACTGCTGGGGTCGTTCGCTACAATTCCTGAATTATGGTGAATCTATCACTGCTGAGAACTATTGCCAAGCAATTGACAAAATACACAGGAACCTTCAACTCTTCTGTCCAGCATTGGTAAACCGTAAGCGGCCGATACTGCTTCATGACCACATGTCGCATTGCCAACCCTGCGGAAACTTAAGGACATAGGATATGAAACCTTACCGCACACTCCATATTCTCCATAACTCTCCCTTTCCACTTTTTTAGGCATTGTGATTACTTCTTGAGGGATAACATTTTTAGAAAACGCGGTGAAGTCGCAATGCTTTTCATAGCTTTATTGTGAGACGAAATAAAGATTTTTATGTCAGCGGAATGAAAGAGCTTATTACACGTTGGAAAAGGTTTACAGATTGTGATGGAAAATAATTCGAATAATTTTTTTTTTACGAGGGTTCGCAACAGCAGAGGTCATATAAACCCTCAGGATGCCAGTGTTTTTGAAAAAAAAAAACCATTTGTAAGTATGTCCGGTTGGAATGCAGGGCCACTGGATTCGAACCCGGGACCTTTGCCTGACAGTGATGAGCGCCGTGTCAACGCCTAAACCGTTGCGGCCACCGACGCCACCACTCCACGATCTTGAAAGGACTTTTCGTGAAGAATGGCCTAACCTCCAGTAAAGAGACATTTCCAGATTGGTAGAAAGTATGCCGAGGTGTATTCGAGATGTATTTAAGGCTACAGGAGGAAATATGCGATATTGAAAAGTTAATTAAAAATCTAACACAAATTTTATCTGTTATGTTATATTTTTTTTTCCTTAGCAATTTAAACTTATTCAGATAAAGACTCAACTATTAAAAGTTAAAAAACGTGAAATTTTTATTAATTATTAATATATAAAAATATATACAAATCAAGTTACAAGTGGGTGGAATTTTTTGCCTATCAGTGTATATCTTAAAAAAGATACAAAAGTTGTTTGAATTCCGTGCTCTGATTGCTGCATAACTACATGACATGAAGTCCTAATTCTTATATCTATCCAAATTAAATTGAATAAGCCTTTCAATGACTGAAAACTTTTGCTTGAAAGATACTGATACACCCGGTACTTTGGCTAATGTAGAATGCATTGTTTATCAGGTTTATCTTTATTTCAGGATGTGGCAGGAGCTGGAGAGCTACCTATGGGAACAGACAGGAGCTCCTCAAGCAGCGCCGGTTGCCAGCTACGTGGATGAAGACGCTACCCACAAAGACGTCAACGGGTGGACAGTAGAGGAGAACAGCGAAGAACTCGTCGATTTGGACCTATTACTCAAAAGTGCAGTGGAAGCCCACGGTTGTACGCAGGCCGTATCCGCTTTCAGCCCTCCTCCAGCAGTCGTCAACCCCGGCCGTCCTTTGAAACGGGGATCCCACTCGTGTCAGCACCCCGGCTGTGGAAAGGTCTACACCAAATCGTCTCACCTCAAGGCCCACCAGCGGACCCACACCGGCGAAAAGCCCTACGAGTGCACGTGGAAAGACTGTGGTTGGAAATTCGCCCGATCGGACGAACTGACGAGGCATTACAGGAAGCACACAGGCGTCCGCCCTTTCCGATGTGCGATTTGTCAAAGGGCCTTCTCTCGTTCAGATCATTTGACCCTTCATATGAAAAGACATTTACCCCTATGATTAATTCTACATGCAGTATTTTCATTTTATCATTTGTAATCGGACAAAGAGCTAGATAATTTTTTTAAAAATCTATTTGTATTACTAAAATATTGATCGTATTGATATTTCAAATATATGTATATTATGATAAATAGACAATAATTTGAAATAAAATACATATCTATGTTATTCACGACGAAACTAGTATAAAACCTTAAATAGTTTTCTTTTTGTTTCAGCCTGTCATGAAAATTTTTCTGTTGAACTTTAACCAAATATTCAATTATTTTTTTTTTTTATATAATGTCTTAGTTGAGAGAAAAAAGTCAGTATCACGAGCGGGATTCGAACCCACGACCTTCGTCTAAATACGCCGCTGCTCTACCACTTGAGCTATCGTGAGCAGCGGCGCATTTAGACGAAGCTCATGGGTTCGAATCCTCTTGAAAGAAGTAACTTGGTCAATTGACCACTAAAACGTAAATGGTTTAATCCACTATATTATTTACTAGGTCGTTACAAAAGTAAAAAAAAAAAAAAAAACAAGGAAAAAAAAACAAGAAAATTTAATGCAAAAGTTAAAAAATTTGAATGATTCGTTTATTGTAGAATATGTAATAGTTATGAATCATGAGGAAAAGAAAAATACAGCTGTTGAACAAAAGAAGATCGTTAAAACCATGCGCAATATGTGAGAAACTGGTTTATAAAAATCGTTCTCATTGAATTCGATTTTGTAATAAAACAATTCAGTCTATCTATAAAATTAATTTAAATTAATAAAAATATGATGCTGAAGATGATTAAAATTTGAGATATGAAACAAGGTGGTGAACATACATCTATACCTTGCTCACTAATTAAAATAAAAATAATTTTTATAAACATAAATTAGTTAAAGGTGTATATGATAATGGCTCTATCTTTTCATTAATAAATGACAAAATAATTAATTTATTAAAATCAAAATTTACGTAATCACAAAATGTTTTAAAAACTATAGGTGATGCGGATTTTTATCAAAGCCGGGATAATTTCCGTTTCTAAAAGAAGAGGAAAATACCAAAATTGGTGAGCGAATATCATGCCTATTTTGCGCAAAATAAATTTGATGTTTGGTCAATTAGCTTTGGTCATCATTAAACTGAAGGGTAAAAATACATTTCAAGAAAACGTATACGTATAAGCGTTCATTTCCAGATCAAGACGAGATAGATTCTCAGATTTCAAAATTATTGGACAACGATCTAATAGAAGAATCAGATTCACCTTTTGCCCTTCAAGTAACATCAGCATTCAAGAAATAAGATGGAAAAAACGCGATTATGTGTGGATTTCGGAAAATTACACAGAATAGTGGTGAACCACGACCATTTCCCAGATAGAAGATCTGGTAGTAAACATCACCTAGTTTGTGCTGAGAGTGAACGTATTTATTAGCGTGAATGCGTGATGTGAGATGGCGGAATATCGATTGCCCCATCGGCCCTCAATTATCTCGAACTAATCTTATGGCGTTATCAGGACGTCTATCAAAAAATTTTTGACAAATGGTTTCTATGAACTCGCTCAGAAATTGCACTCCGGAGTTTGTGCGGAGTTCATCTATTTTGGTTGCTAAAGGGCTGTTAGTGCATAGCCTTAGGAACTTATTTTGAGTTCTTTGCTTGTAATTGGTGTTACACGTTAAGCCCCAAGCAGCGCAATTTTTTTTAGTTAATTCATTGCTATGTGCTGTAAACGTTAACTTAGCATCTAGCCGAACCCCGAGGTACCTTATTGAGGGAGACCAGTTAACTTCTTCACCATTAAGGTGAACTTTAAGGTCTACAGTTGGACGTCTTTTCCTATGGTTTCGAGAGTATGGCTTCAGACTTACTCCTGTTCATATTTGTTTTCCACATCGTTAAGTACGATAGTCCCCTGCCCTGAAGTCCAATCACCCTCCATGAAGATGTAGATCCCTGATTATTCTAGTCCGTCTATTTTTGCTGGGTTTTCGGTCAGGCTGAGGTCAGCTGTCGAAAACCAACAAGGCTTCAGAATTCAGATATTTTCTTGTAGGCGCAAGTTGTTGGGTCGATTTTACAATCTGTTCAAGGAAGCTTGTTTTTCAACATTTACCAATGCAGTTTAAAAGGGTTTTGATCTGTTTGCATGAAAACGTTTCGAAGGACCGAGTGTTTGAAGCATTCATGGACCTTGGCGTACATTCATCGAACAAGATAAGATGGAAAATTATTAATCGGCCGAATTTTACTGCCCACAAACATGTGGGGAGAAAACAAAAATTATGGCATTAATAAAGGTAAATGTTTATTTCCAATCGTGTCGTTAAACCGATTGGGACCAAGAGGCGTTTCATTAGCGTAAAAGGTCAATGTATGTCTACGTACGATCGGTACATCACCGCACGTGCCTCAGTTAACGATCCAATATCTCCATTTATAAAAATTCAGGCAAGATCAGGTAACAAGCTCGTCAATTTACTTAACCTTTTCTCCTGTCACTATGTAGTACATACTATACAATACGACAAAATAATTAAAGAATTCCTTGTAAAAGGGAAAGAATTTGAATTATCTTTTCTTTTGTTATGTCTCCTGACTGTTATTTTCTTATGCCCTAAGCCAAATTTCTACATTGATTTAAGGACATGCGATCGAATCAAACTGCTCAAAAATGAATAGGGCTATTTGTAATTTATTCTTAGTCTATTAATTTTAATTAAATCAATCGATATATTCTTGTTAGTTGGATAAAACAAAATAGAAAGTACAAACCAAAAACAAACAAATGTTCATCTTCATTTTTAAGAACGGATTCACTTAAGAATAGTAAAGATGAAGGTTATTCATTTTCTAAACAGACACCTCGTCTTTTCTCCATTTTAAAACAGTTGTATTCTCTTTAACCATGGAAAGACATCTTGAACCAGAAGTTCTCACAACTATTGTGAGAATGAGTCATCGAGGTCACCGCCAAGTGGATATCGCAGAGGCAGTTGGCGTTTCTCAGAGATTTCGTGAGACTGTAAGTGCTAATAGGAGGCCTATTAGGTATCACTACGCTAACGGAGGACAGAAAAATTGTCATTGCTGCAAGACGGAACCCTTGGTATAAAATAAGCTCTAGAATCGAACCTCGAACTTCCTGGAGCTGATGAATCGCTTGAACAACAGTATGGAGCCGGTTTCGTAAAATTCTCAAAGTCAAAAAACGGTCATCCTGTGGTTCTGTTACCCTAGGGCCTCCAGAACCGGACCTTCTATGGTAGGACCCAGTTTCTCGAAAACTCTCGCAGAACTCTGATGGCAATAGCAAACCTGATGGAACGTCCATCATCAACAAGTGCCACACCATGCACAACATCCTCAGCACTAAGTTGTGTTTGAAATTAAAAAAACAAAAATGAAAATAGTTTATTTCTTCAGAATACAAATGAGACTAAATAAACATTTTAAATTTCGTAAAAAGTAAACATTGAAAAAACCTTTATCCTTGTTTTGGATTAAGGATTTAGTGTGTTTACGTCTAATTGATATTCCCAATTAAAAACATAACATAAATATATATTTATTGATAAAAACAATGAGACAAATTAAGGGCTGAATTTTCTTTTTTCGAGAAAATGAAAAAAAAAAATCAATTGGGTGGAATGTTTTGCCTGTCAGTTATATGTTTATAATAAATGCTCAAATATTGTCCCTGCGCAAAAAGACACAGTATTTTAAATTTAAAACGAGGAGGGACATCTTGTCGTTACAAAAAGCCTACCCCCCTCACGCGTCTTCCGTCGGGCATAACTCAGAAATGTATCAAAATTTTCCTTTTAGTAAAAGTATCATAAAATAAGCTCGAGAATCGAATTGAACAAAAAAAATATGGGATTCTCATTAAAAATAACAAAATTAGTGTAATTTCCCAGCTAGATGAGAAAGTTAAGTTAAATACTTTACCACCCCGCGAATCCTAGCCAAAATTAACGAGGGATTTGTTTAAGACCATTTTTTGCTAATGTTAATCGTTTCCGAATTATATGGGTGGAAGAATTTTCTCGTTCAAGAATTTTTAAAAGTACGAGGGACTTTACTCTGTCCTGGAGGATATCCGGCGGCATCCACAGCGACACTCACTGCAGTCAGGATTCCAGGTTGATCCCTTTGTCCCTTTTGCTTTTTCAAGTCTGTTTTGTTTGGGGTGCTCCCTTCCTACCGTAGTCTTTTTATGGTATCTGCTGTGGAACCGCAGATGCCTTTAGGAAGTTTTCTTTTTGGTCTCAACTTATTCAACTCCTCGTTTGAGTATGGCGTAGCAATCGTGGAAATGCTCTTCAGCCCTCTTCTTGATGAATCTAACAAATGATTTTTCCACCACCTAGAGCACAACTGCCTGCATTAAACTATTTTATTTAAATTTTGTACTTTATTAATGTATTTTATTATTTGTCCCCACGAGAAACTAGTGACTCCCTTAGACTACAATCCCTCAACCACTCAATTTAAAAATAATTTTGGTTCATGGGATATCTGTAATTCTTCATCTTCCAATTTGCTTTTAGGAATTGTACATTGATGCTTACTGCAACGCTGTAGGTCATAATAAATCTGTAAAATAAAATCGTTCTCCGTGCAACTGATGAATTAAAATGCAACTATTAGAAATGTAAACAGTCAGGAAGCCAATGTTCCAACAGGCATAATTAGAAGCAAATAGTCGAAAAGAAGGTTAAATGGTCATGTAACAATGATTTGTAATGCAAGAATTGAGATTTATGGGCGTGTGATTTGTTCGAGACCGGCAAACGAGGTGAAAATTGACCCAACATTAGATAGTGAGAGGAGTTTAATCGAAATATAGTCAGGGTTGAAAGGCAGAGCTTTCATTCAATTAAAGGCCAAGGATGACCCTTCCACCCCAGTCACCCCTGAGCGTAAAACAACCACCCTCACCCCTCTTGTCTTAATAGCGTTCATCACGCACACCTAATGCACCTCTAATTAATAGCCGACACACATCCGACCAAATATTTTCTCGCTGACGTAACAAGTTTAA